CGAAAGACTGGCAGATCGTTGTAAGGGGCAGTATGCAAGCATTACTATAAATTAAATGACTGCAACCATGTGCAATTTGGAGGGTTCTTGTCCCTGTTGTCAGTTTGCAGATATTTAAAAAATGTGGGGCATGCCTAAAAGTTAATTCGAGGCAGATCGCGAGGAGAGGAAATTGGTAATTTGAAACAACGCACATTTACCCATGTTTCGCTTCTGCTATAACAACTTCTCCGATTACTGGCCTTCACATCTGAACCGCTGTCGCAACAGCGGTATACAAGTTGGTTTGATCTGCTCCTTGGTGGATCGATTCCTATTATTTGAGTTTAAGCTAGGTAAGAAGTTGAATCGATTGTGACAGAAGTTGGTTATTTGGAAAAGGGATACGGTAATGTCCAACCACAGCGATTCTAGCATAAGGGTTTTACTACTAACGTTCATACAACCGGTACTGAGTATTTTCCTTCTTTTATGCTATATGTTGTCCATTCCTGGTCGCTACCTCATAACAGGCGCCCCTCAGCACTGAGAAGATGAGGTTTAAGGGCGCTGAGCCGAATAGGCAGCACTCAATTTGTTGTAACGTGGAGTTTAGAGACTGTTTCGTTGTCCGTGACGCGTAAAATCTTGCCATATAGGGACTTCCTGTTCATCAACGCGAACCTTCCCAATCCAAAACTAGCAAGGCAACGAGCCCGTGGCGCAGTGGTTAGGGCGTTGGACTTCTAACTAACAAGGTCGCGGGTTCAAAACTCGAACGGAGCACCAATTTCTGAGGCAGTACTTGAGTTGGGTATGACTAGCTGGCGACGGATAATAAGCCCGAAATGGTCATCCTAGTCTCCCTTGTCTTTGTCAGTAATGTCCTTCTGCTTATATCATTAGTCGCATTCTGGCTAGGCTCGAGTGTGAGTTCCAAACGCATCATAGACGGACGAGTGTTTTCTCTAGCTAATCAGTGAAAATTCACAAGTATATCTTCTTGATCAGTGTACGCCTATCTGCGACCTTTCGAAGTATACACACTGTTCGTAAACATTTTCTGAATCCACTTCGATGTGCGGTGTCGGAAGCCCGTTGTGAGGTACGTAGCTGGCGGCCAAAATGATGTCGCACACCTTTCTCCTTACTCGTCGAAAACATCCACCGGACGCCTTGCAGTCCGTCCAAGTGCCTTGACGAGCTCTAGTAAAAGTGTGCACACGTCCCGAAAGTTGGAACTTTCCATGCATCGAATTCCGTAATGTGCACACGAACCAGAACACACGGTCAATAAAAGCGTCAGCTTGTCCAGAGGCTTTCTCAGGCCTGCTTTGAATGTCTTCAGTGCATAGACCGGCTTCGTCAACGGTCACCGCTGCCTACAACCGTAGGTCGGGCTTCTGCACAGAAGAACTCCCTCTTACTGGTTATCCATCCTCTATTGGCGCATGAGACCTGGCTCTAATAGACTTACTTGGGTGAATTGAAGGCTGATCCTGGTTTCTTGTGTTCACTGCCTTTTTGGGAGAAGACTTTCTTTAATCTATGCAGTCGAACGATCGTAGCGGATGCTGGAGGAGGAAGAGAGGGATCCCAGTAGGATTGTTGCAAGTTCTCCGGTAGCAACCTCGCTTGTATGTGATTTGTC